GGGTCAGTAGCAGCAGGGTCAGCAGCAGCAGGGTCAGTAGCAGCAGGGTCAGCAGCAGCAGGGTCAGTAGCAGCAGGGTCAGCAGCAGCAGGGTCAGTAGCAGCAGGGTCAGCAGCAGCAGGGTCAGTAGCAGCAGGGTCAGCAGCAGCAGGGTCAGCAGCAGCAGGGTCAGCAGCATGTTGAACAGGTAAAACAGATTTGTTTCTGTAAGAAAAGCTTCAGATTCTGTTTCATTTGACTGCAGGTGGAATCAAGAGACGAGCTTTAAATCCTGACTGGTGAGTCCTGAGGAGAACTAACCCTGACCTGACACACCTGTAGACTCACCTGTAGACTCACCTGTAAACACCTGTAGATTCACCTGTACACACCTGTAGACTCACCTGTAGACTCACCTGTAAACACCTGTAGATTCACCTGTACACTCACCTATAGACTCACCTGTAGACTCACCTGTACACACCTGTACACTCACCTGTACACACATGTAGATTCACATGTAGACTCACCTGTACACACCTGTAGATTAACCTGTAGACTCACCTGTACACACCTGTACACTCACCTGTACACACATGTAGATTCACATGTAGACTCACCTGTACACACCTGTAGATTAACCTGTAGACTCACCTGTACACACCTGTACACTCACCTGTACACACATGTAGATTCACATGTAGACTCACCTGTACACACCTGTAGATTAACCTGTAGACTCACCTGTACACACCTGTAGACTCACCTGTACTCACCTGTAGACTCACCTGTACACACCTGTAGACTCACCTGTACTCACCTGTAGACTCACCTGTCTCATTACCAGTTTTGTTTTCGTTGCAGTTTCTCCTCTGAGGAGCCTCCTCACATCATCTATGAGATCCGGATGAGGAGACCTGTTCAGGAGAACATCTACACTCTGGACTAGAACCTTTAAATCCAGCTGATCCACCTGGGAACAGGTGAAGCTGAGGAGAGGAGGAGCTTCACTCTGAACTGTTTTTATACAAATGTTGTTGTTTATAGAGCTGTGTGTTTGTTGTGTTGTTATATTTTTACAGTAATGTGTCATTAAAAACAAAATCCTGAACCATGTGTTTACATGATTCATACAACTTCTGTCAACAATACATACAATAAACA